TGAAACATGGAAGAACACAGTTTGAAAACCACTGCTCTAGACTACGAATTTCTTCTTAATCAGTCAATTGACGTTCACTGCAATTTAGCATGCTTTTGTAAATGAATATTATTTCTTGTCTGTTATGTTTGTTTAGAAAAGATTCACTACTCATGACCATCGTGTGATTTAAAAACAACTCAATGAACACACAGAGTAATTACACATAGAGTAATCACTCTATAAACAATCATGGTTGACAACTGTTTATTTTATCAGCTTTTAAGTGATGGCAAAATAACTTAATCAGTGAGAAACCTCGTTATTTCCAATATTATTAACACATTTTTAAGACTTAAAATTACGTCGACCTAAACACTGGCATAAGATAATACTTCAGCATCCCCCCCCCAAAAAAAAACAACAACACATAACACTGTATGACATAGGATAAAAAACTTAAACCGAGATCTTCTGACATAGCCTCTGAGACTAAATGTGTAAAATTGTTTGTTTCAACACTTCATGGATCAGATATTCCAATAATATTTATCTATATACAAAATTGTTGTTAGATTTAATTTCGAGTACTTTTTGGTTACGTTCATAATTAGAATAGTTTTAAAACAGGTCAATAGGCCTTGTCAATAATTCATATACAATGGTAAGATACAATTTGTTCAAAGTCATGGTTGTCGGTTCGATAAATCATTTGAAACAAAAGAAAACACTCAAAAAATAATATTAAAGGAGTTATTCAGTCTTTCAAATTATATTTCATGATACATAAACAAGAAAACTGAAAATATGCTTTAATAAGTTCCTCACGTAAGTATGAACACTGAAAAATATTTAAATTTAACTTTGTTTTGATGTCTATGTGAAAACTAATATAATTTCTGATACATTAATGTTATACGCTTATTGAAACAAAAAACAAACAATAGTTTCAGAAACTAATAAATAAGTATTAAAAACACGAAGGGCTGTTTTCCTCTTCGTCCAATTTCTCGTATTAAAACTAAGCACCGTCAAATATCATGTTTCATTTATCTAAAACTATCACTTTTCACCAACAAAAACTATAATAAGAACAACAATAACAATTATTAGACTCATTCACAGTAATAAAGCTATAAGGTAAGAACAACAATAAGAAGTATTAGACACATTCACAGTAATAAAGCTATAAGGTAAGAACAACAATAAGAAGTATTAGACACATTCACAGTAATAAAGCTATAAGGTAAGAACAACAATAAGAAGTAGTAGACACATTCACAGTAATAAAGCTATAAGGTAAGAACAACAATAAGAAGTAGTAGACACATTCACAGTAATAAAGCTATAAGGTAAGAACAACAATAAGAAGTAGTAGACACATTCACAGTAATAAAACTATAAGGTAAGAAAATACGTGATCCATTATCAATAACGATGCGGTTTTTCATAACTGAAACAAGAAACACATTTTAAGTTTTCAACCTCAATTTTCATTAAATCGCCTAAATTATAAATCAAACCGTTATAAAAAAACGACACATTTCAATTAAGAGAATTATTTCTATTGTATATTGATTTTTCTTGATTATAATAATTCAAAAATCCAATATGATCAAGTGGTTGTGCAAAATGAACGTGATTTAAAAATGGTTAAAATCTTTATTTGTACCACAGTTGTACACAGTAGATCCTCTTACAAATCACACTGAAAGTAATTTTCACTCATATGATCATAAACAAAATTTGATGACGTTCATTCGTTTTAATAATATACATAAAAATGTTATCAAATAATTCAAAGTATTCATCTTTAGAATTTTTAGTATCTCTAACTTAGTTTAGTTTGAGTTTTCACAGCTCGTTTCTACCCTTCCTTTTTGTGTGTATACTGACGAGAGTATCTCGGTGCCTAAATGATAGATTGGCAAAACAATTCATCTTTAAAAAAACATATCTCTACATTTTCTGTGTGACAAAGGAAGTATAATAAAACGTGTATCAGTAAAGACATATAATTTAATTAAAAATTTTCTTGTTTGATTGGGTTAATTATTATCATTTCTATCAGTTAAATAATCTGATTTACCTTTTCAATCTTCAGATGATTACTACTGACAGTACACGTGCAACATCAGAATATGAATGACAGCTATAAATGTTTTCTTTAGGAGAAGAGACATCTTGCGAAATTCCTTTATAGTTGATAAGATTTCTTATTGTTTTAGAAATTAAAAGGAAAACGTTTAATATTTATTTTGGTATTTTAAAATGTTTCCTTTTTTCCCCCACACAATTCATATTTTTCACTTCTGGCCTTTGTTGTTGTTAACAAGAATGTGTAATTCAGTTTAAGAGCTATGAAACATAGTTGAAATTATCTAAATTTATACTCATTTTAATCACGTTTTATTCACCATACACATAATATGTGTTTATAACAAACTTTCGCTCGGAGTTTAATATACTGATCTCAATTCTGACATGTAGATTTACCGATGGGGTTCATATGAACTTTAAAGTGGTTTTAAACACTTTTTTTTGATTTACATTAGCTGTCAATAAATTGATTGTGGGTCCATGACTTTGTGGGTTATCGGATTCCTAATAATATGAGTCACACACAAAAAGTTAACAGAAATACTGTCAACTAATGCTGGTCTTCAGTGTGTATTTTACATAACAAATAAGTAATTTCACCCATTTGTTTTTTCATCAGTTCTTTATACTGAACAGATGCACTAACTTAAAATTACTCAATACGATGTAGTATGTGGACCACACACGTAGTGTATAGAAATGTGTCGTTCATTTTGTTTTTGTGACTGTGTTTAGAGCTTTGGTTCTGTCATGGAGAACAACTGTTGCCTTTACTTAACAAGTTAGTATGGAAACATCCTTTACCTTTGTTTAACGATTTGTGCACTACAAGTTATCTTAAAGATTTAAATCTACAGTAATAATCTTTTAATTTGTAAACAACTAAATTAGGAGAGCCTAAGGCAAGGTACATGAGACAGTAAACTATGTTGAATTTTGTACTGATGAGAATTTCATACCGTGTCAATATCGTGACCATTATTATTGTTTATGAATTGTCATCAAAGTTTGTTATAATGCAAAACAACATCATAAACGTCTTTACAGTTTTGAAATATGAGAAGAAATCGGCTTCTTTTTAATCGGGATGTTTTACCACCATCATCATCAATATATGCTAAAGGAACTAAGAAGCAGGAAAACAGATTGCAACAAGAAAATAAAAGGGTAAATTTTGGGAGTATCATAAAGTTAACAGTGCTTTATTTGAAATTGTAGCTGTGAAAAAATACGTAAGAACTTAAAACAGAGATTACCTTTGAAAAATGTATATTTATTAATTTAATAATCCTGACAGTACCTTCTTCTTGAATTACTATAAAACAAAATGTTTTATATAATGATTCTATGGAACATTTCCTCGTATTTTGAACTTATCCTTTTTAATATATATATATATATATATATATAA